CGCAGATAGTCACGTTATCTTATGCTTTGAATGATGCGCCCTCTTGTGGCCTCAGCAGAGAAGCCAAAAGCTTTTCTTCACCCTAACTGAAATTATGCATTTTAAATTCGAATATAATTCGAATGTTGATAATATTCAAGTACAAAATTCGAATTTAGTTTTTCAGCCATTTTGACAGCCCTAGTATGAAATTCGTTGGTCACAAGATGCGAGAACCTTGTGAATCATTGAACCCGTTTAGGAAATTTATTACTCAGATAAAGGCATTTATAATGTTACAAAAGATTTCTATTTCAGATAAATAGTGTTCATATCGATATCGGAATTATATCGTATCGACCGAAATTAAGAAATATATCGTGATATCAATTTTGGCCATATCGTCCAGCTCTAATATTCAGGTCCAAAAGTTTTGTAAAAATATATATTTTTTTCATTTATTTTATATTATCGCCATAACAATTTGAGTGAAAGCCTCGACTGTAAACTTCAGAATGTCGTAGTATTTAGTACCACATAAAAGTTTGCGTGTGTTTATGCGAAAGTGCATCTGGATGTTTTCAACTTATTAACAAGAAGAAGAGCAACATACCACGTTTCTCACGAGTTTCTGTTTGTTTCTCCTTGAAGAATGTCCTTGTGGTTTCTGTTTTCAGTCGTTTCGTGCGTGTGAATTCAGCATTTTGCTGTTGTGTTGCAGCTGCTCTTTGCTCTTGGAGGGAAAGTTAGGGATGTTTGCCTGGAAAATGTGCAGGCTTAAAAAATGTGCTGTTTTTGCTACCTAGCTAAGACCTCCTGGGATGTGTTCAGCGTTGGTTTCGTGTTTGCTTTGGAGAGCTTTCAGCTTTTCCTTGTGTTGCTGTTACTTGTTTGCCAGTCGCTGCTCGGGTGCTGCTTTGTAGCGCCTTGAGGATCATCATTCTTAATGAATCAGACATTTTAATTGATGTCATAGTGTTGTATCGCTTTGGGCTGTATTTATTTCATGGTGTATGGTATCACCCACAGGTTTTTAATATTAGGCGAAGATCCACCAGCATGTTCTTTTTGGAAAAAATCCTTTATGCCTGAAACATGTTTTATTAGATTGTGCTGGCTTAAACCCTGTGAGAAACAAGTCTATCTATCTATCTATCTATCTATCTATCTATCTGTCTGTCTGTCTGTCTGTCTATATATAAACTTAATTTTTTTTAATTTACAATTTATTTGGTTAGTTATTGAACACTGTTTTTTTTTCCCCTTTCCTTTGTGTTGTTTTGTTTTTTTAAGGTATGTATAAATGTAACTAGAGATTTTAGCAAAAATAACAGTAAAAATCTGATATAATTTACCATACATTTTCATAAATTTGAAAAACAAGCAAACAAAAATAAATGTAATACATTGAGTTCTAGTCTGGAGGGGGTGAGAGATAAGATTTTTTATTTTATTTGTATTTTACAATTAAAACTTTTATTCATCAAGGATGCATTAAATTGACCTAAATTGACAGTAAAGACAATTAAAATGCTACAGAAGGTTTCTATTTCAATTAAATGCAGTTCTTTTGAACTTTCTATTCATCAAAGAATTCTGAAAAAAGTCTCACAATTTCAACCAAAATATCAATCAGTACAACTGTTTTCAATATTAATAATAATAACAATAATAATGTTTCTTGAGCAGCAAATCATCATATTAGAATGATTTCTAATATCTAATAATATAGAAGGATCAATATAGATCCTATAGATAATTCTATATCAATATAATAGAAGGATCATGTGACACTGAGAAATGATGCTAAAAATTCAGCTTTGCATCACGGGAATATATTACATTTTAAAATATATTCAAATAGAAAAATATTGTAATAATATTTTACAATATTTCTATCTTTGATCAAATAAATGCTGCCTAGGTAAGCAGAAGACACTTTTAAAACATTAAAAAGTATATATATATATATATATTTAGTATATGAAATTTAAATAAATTCATTCATTTGTTTGCTCAATAAAAACATTGAAAACAAACATTCTTATCTCAAATTTGTCAACTGGCCTATATATATATATAT